TCATCGGCGAACGTGCTGAGGGTACGCTCCGTCACTTCATCCAGGTCACTGATGAACAGGTTAAACAAGACTGGACCCAGAACTGACCCCTGGGGAACACCCCTCGTCACAGGCCTCCAACCAGACTCTGCACCACTGATCACAGCCCTCATAGGTACCCTGGGAGAGCGCGAGCTCCTGAAGAAAGCGTGGCATCAACTTTACCCAAAGGGAGAGTGGCTCGGGCAGGTCCGGATCATGGAGGTAGAGCTGATTTTATTCTGGGATGTGAATGTGTATGATGGCTCGCTTGCAACTTTTCCTCGTCTCTGTAGGTGTCATGTTCTCCTTGTAGATCCTGGTGCACCTTGACTTGCTGTGGACACTTCTCAGTGGAAGAAGCTGGCATGCAGTGGTGAGCCCAGCTTTCTGGCCGAGTCGTGGTAGCACTGCACATTGCTCAAGGATGAGCCTTCCCTCTTAGCTTTCTTAGTCCTTTCCTCTTCATCGCCCTTGTTCACCCTGCGTTTCCTTCCCCTTTGGTTTTTGCTTGCAGCAGTTTACAAGCAAACCTCAGCTTCCCTCTGGGACTTCTCCTCTGCTCTCCCCAACCTCATCTGGGACATTGCGGCCCAAAGGGGCTCGTTCACTCGATATATCGTCAGCCATCCTGTTGTGGACCAAAAAATACCTGGTTTGAGCTGGGAAATTTCAATCAAATTAATTTATTGGCAAGTAACAAACCAACCGACACTTAGACATCTCTTCCCCCCCCCCCATCCTGGTCCCCCACCCCTGTGCCACAGGTTACACCCTTTGGTGAGACCACGGGCAGTGCAGAAGCTGGGGGTTGGTGGGTGGGGGTCCCTTTGCTCTTGCTGCTCAACTGTGTGTCCTACTCAACTGCTCCAGCATGGGCTCTTCCACTGGTCCCTGTCCCTTTGGGTGCTGTCTCTCCTTTGTCAGCATTCCCTGCCCTTTCTTAAACCTGGTGCCGCGGAGGCACCATAAACCCATCTGGTTGGTCCAGTTTTGGGGTGCAATGGGTCAGTTTTGCCTGATGCTGAGCCGGCTGTGAGCAGCACAGGACAGTCCCTGCCCTCCTCCTGCACAGACAAAACAAACAATGACACCCTCAAGCATGTCACCATGCTCTCTGTGACATGCTTTTCTGTTCTTTCCTTTTACCTTCCGGCGTTACTTTTACTGTTTTGGATAATTATCTTCTATTTTCCCCCTGCATGATTTGCCGAGTCCTTGTAAGATGAACACAGTCATACCTCCTAAAGCTCTGACAGGGTTATACACATCTATACCACACCTCAGGGGTCTCTAGAGATGGAAACAAAAAAGCTCCAGAAGCCTGGTTTTTTGTCCTTGAAATGGAATAGCTGTGAAAAATGCCCTGTTTAATCGTGAAGTCGTCACGTTGTTGCCGACACTCACCCCCCGACCCTGGGGGAAGAGGATGCGTGCTCCGTTTCTTTCTTTTTCCTCTCCCATGGTTTGTTTGGTTTAATATTTGGAAGGAAGTGAATGCTCTCAAGTGTAATTTCTGCTGAATGGGGAGAAATATTTTCTAAATGGGGGTGCTGGGCAGCACCGCAGAGACAGCCCCTGCCACGGAGGGGATGCTCCTCGGCGGGCAGGGTCAGGCTGGGGTGGGCAGACGGCACTGGGAAATCCCAAGCAGGGAGCACAGCCATGGTGTTTCGGGCTGCGTGCGGTGGCCAAGCTCTTCCTGGCTTTATCCCCACCCAAGGAGGCAGAGAAACAGCTGTGGCTCAGAGAAAGGACGGCAGTTCTGCGAAGCGGGGTTTGGTTCCTTTCAGTTTCCGAGACATCATGTGCTTCAGGCAGAAGGCGGCCGGCAAGCTCTGGCAACAGAACCGGGCGGCATCTTCTACCGGGGATCGGGCAGCGATGACTGCCTGCAGAGCTTCTTGATGCCCCACTCGCAGGCACTGCAAAGCTGCCCATGTTTTCTTCTCCTTGAAAGTCTGTGATCTGTTATTTGCGTTTCATGTTTAATATAAATAAACACCCTATTTAACATGCAACAGGGGTTACGCCCCAGCTCAGCAGACAGACACACCTGTTGTAGAGGATGGCTGGAAAGGGCCCAGCAGCTATAACTCATTTTCCCAACACCCCCCGTACTGTCAGACGGCGGTTAGAGCCCCCCATAGCAGGTACTGCCAGGTTTCTGGGATGCTTCGCTTGAGATGCTGACGCTCAGTGCTGCTTTTACAGAGATGACAAACACCTGCATCTGCTCCGTGCTCAGCATCTGAGGACGTTAACATTACCAGCTCAGCGAAACAAGCAAAATCAGGAGCTGCAATCTCGACTATTGGTGTCAATGTCCGAAGACCAAAGCCCACATAGCACATGGGTGGGAAGGACCTGGGGCAGACGCACGCACGTTTCCCAGCCGGCACCAGACCACACGTCTCTTGCCTGGTCAGAGACCAGTAGTGGTGAAAGTACGGAGTCCAAAGGATAAGAAAAAAAGCAGGAGTACTCAGTTTCTTGGGACCTAGCCACCCAGAACAGCTCTCACGCATTTTACAGAAAAGAACCGTCTGACACGATAGAAAGACACACAGGTTTCTGCCGTGAATACTTTTATTGTGCGCATAAGATCTTCAATGTGAAAACAAAGGTGAAGTATTCAAAATAATTCAGCTTTTATACATCATAGGGCATAGTTTATGTACAGATTCATACTCTGAATGCTGCTTTAATGATTGACAGTATTAAGTACATGGCTAGTAGTGATTCTAACAGAGTCATTAAGCTAATAAAGATGCCAGCGCTGAGTTTTCATGCAGTGTATCCAGCTAACCAAGTATTTGCACTGGGAAAGG